GCTCCTGGTGGGCAATGGGAGCAGTTGTGGCGGGCGCTTTCCTGCTCAGAGGGAGTTTTATGGTTGCACGGTTTGTGTGCCTGGAAGTCAAGAAACAGTAAAATCAAGGTTGTAGGTGCAGTTTTAACCCCTTGGTGTCCACATGCTGAGGCGTGTGTGGATCACACGATTCTGCACCTCCACCCATCTTCCTTCCCCCTGCAAAGGGGCACCATGGAAGATGGGATGCTGCCCCCAGCTCTGCAGCCACTGCTGGAATCTGGCTCTCGCCTCTCCGGGGGGGTGCCGTGTGGGAATGGCTCCCTGCAGTCCCTCACGCCAGCTCCTTGCGGCTCAGGCAACTGCATCACGTAATCCCTTAAATAAACCCATCAAGTCCCAGACTTGGCTGGAGCCTCCTGCAGCCTGGGGGAGCCAGCAGGTTAATCCAGAGCTCCTCTGGCCCCGGCTTCGGCCCCTTTGAAGTAGCTGCAGCTCAGGAGCGAACGCGCCCTCTCCGGAAAGCTGACATTTTTAATAAGGAGCAGACTCCTATTATCTGAGCTGAGAATGTAGTGACTTCCTTCTCCTGCCAGTAATCCCCACTCACGGCACTGTTATGCTTTTTTACAATTTATTTTCCTTAATTGCCAGTTTGCAGTGGCCATGCCACTCTCCTTGGGCTGTGTTCTGGGGAACTTTTGCACTGTGAAAGCAGCTTAGTCCTCTCCTGGCTGCTGGAACCGGGCAGCAATTCCTTTCCAGGTGCTTCAGTGAGAATCCTGCTGGAAAAATAAGTAGTAACTGATGCCTGATAACTGTGGCCTAGAGTTAGAAGTTCAGCTGTTCCACACTTCCTTTGGGAAGCCTGATAAACTGCCCTTGACGGAGATAGCCGACAGATGTACGGTACCAGTGCAGCAGGTGTGATGCTTTGCCAGCGGTGGTGCTGTGGTTCTCACCCTGCATACCATCGCTTTGTTTCACCTGGACATGGTGTGCTTCTTCCCATCCATCCAGGGGTCCTGTGGGTGTTGAATTGCTCTTAGGTTTTTTCTCTGTGCTGACTGAAATGACTTTGGAGTACAATTTTTGCATGCATTTTGGTCCTTTAGGTACCTGTGGATAAAATGTGCTTAAGAGCTACCCAAACAGGACTGACTTCACTGAAATGCATGCAAAAATTGTACGCCAAAGTCATTTTGGTCCTTTAGGTACCTGTGGATACAATGTGCTTAAGAGCTACCCAAACAGGACTGACTTCCTGGCATAGAATCATTAAGGTTAGAAAAGACCTCATATTCAATTTTAGGTTAGAAAAATCATCATATTCAACTGTTAACCTAGCACTGTCAAACCTGCTACAAAACTATGTCCTTAAGAGCCACATCTACACATCTTTTAAATGTCTCCAGGTATGGCGACTCCTCCACTTCCCTGGGCAGCCTGTTCAATAACCCTTTCAGTGAAGAAATTTTTCCTAGCATGCAATCTACACCTCCACTGGTGCAACTGGAGCCCGTTTTGTTTCATCCTTCTGCTTGTTATTTAGGAGAAGAGAGTGGCACCCACCTTGCTACAGCCTTCTTTTGGGTAGTTGTAGAAAGCAATAAGGTCTTTCTTTCCTGAGCCTCCTTTTCTCCAGACTAAACAACCCCAATTCCCTCAGCTGGTCCTCATAAAACTTGTTCTCTAGATCCTTCACCAGCTTTGCTGCCCTTTGTTGGACACGTTACAGCACCTCAACATCTGTCTTGTAGGAAGGGGTCCAAAACTGAACAAAATACAGGCATGGTGGCCCACAGCAGCGCAGGCTGTCATCTCCCTGAGCCAGACCCATGGATCAGGACTTTTTAAATCTCAGGGTATGCAAAAGTGTTTTATGTTATGCCTTTTTTTTTTTTTTTTTTTCCCCCCCTAGTACTCACATAAGAAACTACTTTAAAAGCATGGAAGTAACCATGTGGCATGGTTGAGTCCTGCTGGGCGTGCATAGCTACAGTGATGGAGACTGTAAAACGTGAGCTCCACGCTGCTGTGCAGTACCTTTGCCTGCTGAAAGCAGGGTGCAAATCTGGTGCTACCTTTTATCAGTGCTGTTAAGGTATTTACTCTGCTTCAGCTAAACCTGCAAACTGACTGCCTTAAATCACAGCTTTTGAATATATCCTTGAAATAAAAAAAGATAAATAAAAGATTCAATTGTCCTCCAGCAATAAGAGTTTCAATAGTGATGTGTTATGAGCAGGGCAGATTTCACCAGCAGCAATTCCAGGCTGTGGGATTTTGGGGGGATCAGAAGCCTGTGCTGCTCCTGTAATGTGCCATTGCCTCTGTTTCCCCACGAGGCTCGCTCAAGGGAGTGCAGGGGACCGACCCGCCAAGTTTCCTCCCCTTTGAAGCCCTCGGAGTCTGGCTGTGGGTCACTTCTCCTGGCAGTTGGGCCTTTAATATTCTTGCAGCCAGCCCTTTGTGAGGAATATTTCAGAATAAACCACTACTAGGGGAGTTGGGTGTGAGAGATTTTGGATGTGTAAGACTTTTTTTTCTTTTGCAAAGTTTTATTATTTCTTGCATCTATTAATAGGGCAGCAGGAGGCCCCATATGCTTTTATGGTCCCTGTTGTGCACTCATATATAATGGATATATGCAAAAGCTCCAAGGTGCATAAAATAGATACCCTTAGCCAGTTATTATGATAAAAATTATGTGCATGTCATGACCTTTAAAGCAGTGGGACTGTGTGTGCATGCTCTTTTGATATGCCACTGTTTTCGATTCCTTTCTGAAGCTTTTCTCACTGTAGGAGGTTTGCATAGGAGCTTGGAATTTTTTTTTCTAATCAGCGAAGAGTCTCTTGGCTCTGACGATAACTTGCAGAGCACAGAGGAGCAAGAAAAGGGAAGAGGGATGACTTTTCTAAGGGAACTAACAGAGAAGAGGTTAAAGGCGAATGGTGAGGCACAGCATGAAAATCCTGCCGCCGTCTGCGGTGCTGTCAAAAAAACACTGGTCCAGAAAGTTCTTTGTCTTCTTTGAGGCAAAAGCTATTCTGGTGCTCTTGAGGATAAAGAAGGAAAAAAAGTTTTGTAATCCATGTGCCCTATTTAACAAGACCTTTTTTTTTGTTTTAAAACTTTTAATAATATTACCATCAGAATTTGCTCTGCTCGCGTAGCCCGCACATTTACCCAGCTCTGGGAGACATGCCATTGTGCCTGGAGAGCTTTTCACTGCTCTGGATGGGTGAGGAGCAAGATGCCTGCTGTCGTGGTGAAGGAGGTCTGGAGAGAGGGGCTCTGTGTCCCTGCACTGCTGCACCCCTCAGTCTGTGGTGTTGGAAAGGATTGGTGTCGTCTGGGAAGGCAGATGGTTGGTCTGGGCTGGCTGCGGAGGTCCTGGTGTGGGTGTTGGGAGCTGTGGATGAAATGCTTCAGTGGCACACCCGGGAGGTGTGCAGGCACCAGATGGGATGGAGACATAGTTTGCAAAAGTGTATTGGTAATTTCTGCCTGGATTGCTGCTTACACCACAGCTTTCTGCGTGCTGGGGGTGGGCAGCAAATGGCACTAGGTCCCTGTCCCACCAGGGATGCCTGTGAAGGGTGCACCCAGGAAGAAGGGGTTGGAATTCCTGGAGACAGGGTGCTCTCCAAAGCTTTTGAGTAATGCAAGGCGAGTAGCAAGGCTTGACGTTGCTTGTGGTGGTGTTGATACTGAACTGCTGTGAGACGCATCAGAGCCCGCTCAGCTGCATCCCAGCCTTAACAAATAGGAAAAATAACATTTATGGCTTTAAAAATTAAACATTCCCTTTAATTATTGAACATGAATAATTTTCATGCAAATTGAGCCTGGGTGTGTGTTTCCAGAGTGACACAGTTGAGAGTGGTTACATGGTGGGATGTCAGTGACCTGCGAACTGAGAGGCTGTTCATTATTTTTAGCATTTTATGAATAGTACCCTGGAGGGTGGGACACAGGCTGGTAGAGAGAGTTGGCTGAAGAAAAATAGTTTGCACTGGCAGCTTCTTCTAATGTGTTAACCTGCAGACTTGTTTATGTGTAGGTATGTTATCTTTACGTGCCTGGTTATGGATATTTTGGAAGCCACTTGGTGAGGAGGGCTGTAGTTAGGGCAATAACTGCGCAGTGACTGCACTGTTTGAGGCTCTCCTGCTTGACGTGTGCAGGAGATGTGGGCAGAAAGTCCTCAAGTCTTTGAAGGTGGAGAGGTGAAAAATACACCTTGTCTTTTCCTAGCGAATTGATGGTGTCCACGTAAAACTTGAGTTTTGTGGGGCAGTTTGGCACAACTTGATGTGTATGAGAGCGGACCTGGCTGGGCACCCACAGATGGACACTGGCATCACTGGCTTTTAGCATCACTTCAGACCACAGAGCAGCTCGTGTCCAGGGCAGATGAAGCACTGGATTTGCAGCTGAAGTGAGCCTGGCGCACTTGGGAAAGCTCTGGCACTGCAGGGGCTTTCAAATGGTTTTGAAGACACTTAGTGCAGGGCGAGTCCTGGGGATTGAGTCCAAAAATACTCTGTGATAAAGCTCCTATAAATATTTTCCTTTTCATAATGGAATGTCAGCATTTACTGTTTCCTGATTTTAAACGCTCTACAGTTTGTCAAACATTTATCTCTGTCTTAAATTAAGTCTTGAGATAGAATTCCTGTTAATTTCGAATCAATATGAGAGGGAAGAGAAAGAAATTGCAGTCTAGCTCTTTTCTTGAATCAATATCTTCTTTAAAAGCTGAAATGTTAACTAGATCTTAGTGTTTTTTGCCGTTTTGAAATGTAGCTTTTGTTTAAAGGATGTGTGCATTTCCCCTGAAAACAACTGATGCTGGTAAGTTTTGCAGCAGGCACAGCTGCCAGCGGGTGTTTGACCCCAAGTGGGAAGGATGGGACCAGCGAGGGCAGCAGTAATGCCAAATAAAGCCATCCTTCCTGTTTCTCAGCTCATTTTCTCTTAATAACTCTCTTTTTTGTTGTTCTGTTTTGCAGAAGCCTTTGAAATTGTAGTACGACATGCAAGAAATTTCACCAACAGCATGTTTAGGACCCACTACCAGAGCATGGGGCCCAGAGCCCTTAAGTTTGTTGGAGAACTTTTTACTGATGTCTCCCTGTACATATTGGGGTCCGACATCAGTGTTAATGACATGATAAATGAGTTTTTTGACAGTTTATTCCCTTTGGTTTACTCTCACTTGATTAATCCTGGCTTTCCCGATCCCTCCGTGGAAATGACTGAATGTCTGCGAGCAGCCAGGAGAGATCTCAAAGTTTTTGGTAACTACCCGAAGATGATGATGACACAGGTGTCCAAGTCGCTTCAGGCCACGCGAGTCTTTCTGCAGGCACTCAACCTGGGGATTGAGGTGATAAACACTACTGACCACCTGAAGTTCAGCAAGGACTGTGGCCGAGCGCTGCTCAAGCTGTGGTACTGCTCACACTGCCAAGGGCTCCTCCTGGCCAGGCCCTGTGCCAGCTCCTGCGGCCTGGTGGTGCAGGGCTGCTTGGCGGGCGTCGCGGAGATTGACGCCCACTGGCGGGAGTACATCGGGTCTCTGGAGGGGCTGACCAGAGGCATGCGTGGCATCTACGACATGGAGCACGTCCTCCTGAACCTCTTCTCCTTGGTGCGGGACGCCATTGCCTACGTGCAGAAGAGCAAAGGGAAGCTCTTGACAACTGTGAGTAGTTTTCTGCAGTTCCCCCGGCTCACTGCCACGGCAGGGCTCAGTTGAGTGCCACAGCCTCTACGTGTGTTCTCCAGCCAACAAACCCCAAATGCTCCAGTTTATCAGCTCCTCGTCCCCCCTCCCCTGCCTCTTTCCTCCCCCGCCTCTTTCCTCCCTCGTCCTCAGGTTCTCCAATTTAAAAAAAACTTTTGGTAGCATTTGAAACAAGTATTTGTGGAACCAGAGATTCACTGTGCTTGCCTTGGGTAGATCTGAAAGGCTGTTCCTGCTTTCCAGGTGTTCCTGCCTCCCTTAGCATCACTGAAAAGTACCTCCAAATAGATGCCAAATAGAGGCATGTGCTGTGGCATCCCCTGCTTCCTGATTTAATAAAGGTCATCTGGTTTTCCCTCTTTTGGTAACTCATTCCAGTTTGGGGCTGCATTTAATCCCAGAGGTGAGCTTATTTCTTAGTTATTAGGAGTGACTTGACCCTTCAAAACCACGTTGTGTGAATTTCTAAGCCTGCCATGAAACTGAGGCTTTTCTGGTCAGAAAATCTTGCTGCTCTGTTTGAAAGCCAAGGACAAAGGGACTGTGGTACTATGCTGCCTGTTTTGCGTGGGAGATTTTTTTTCAGGTGCTATTGAACTGCTCCATGCAGGTAGGACAGAGTTGGGGATGGGAACAAAGGCATGAGAATGTTGTTATAGTTTGCTTAAAGCCAACAATGATTAAAATCTGCCTCTTTC